CGCGTTAAGCGGATTGAAATTGTTAAATTGACGAGCTTCGACGGGGAGAACGTTAAATATTCAATCCCGCGTATGAATTATTCACTTCGGAAATATTACCGACGGTCGGTGAATAAACGTGACCGAGACCAGGCTCGATACCCGCGCGCGCGAACATGAATTAATTGACAAAACGAACAAAACACGGTTCACAGGGAAGAGATTAAGAAATGTTTGTATACCGTTCGACAAGGGGTGAGACTGTTCGATACGGGTCTCGCGCGGAATAACGGAGAAAAATCGGTGCCGTGGCGGCGGCGACGCCATCGTCCGCCATCTTGAATGCCGTCCCAGTCGTTACGCCTTCAATGGATACGAAAAAAAGATCGTGTTTCGACCTTGCCACGCTGTAATCGTCGCCTAATCAGCGCCACGTCCTGAGCTTTCGTGGAACGATCTAATTAAAGGGCACAAAGGGAACGGGAGTTAAGTCCGTCACCGGACATTCCGCCGGGTGGTGGACTGCGCCGTTACAACGAGAAGGTTGCGAGCTTTTTTCCCTGAATGAAAGACACGCCTTGTAACGAACGGAATATATCATGCGTGTTCCTCTTTTTATCTGTGCTTTGGTCATTCAAGTTGACTTTCAAAAAAACATATTGGACGCACTTTGACCGTTGACCCGTCGCTCGGACATTAAATCCGACGATACGTAGAGATTTTCAGTTTTTAGTAAACGCATACGGAAACATGAATCTCCTTTGCATTCGATAACGAATGGAAGAGAAAATTCTTGCTCTATTTAACTACTCGTCTAGACTCCAAAGCAAACAAAATATACCGAAAGCGTCGTTCAAAGAATATCCCAATGCTCAATTACTATCTGAAATTCCCCTGGAAATATCAAACTTTCCGAACAACTAGAATCTCTTTGTCTCCTATCTCCATAGCACCGGTAGGCCACGATCTCTTTCCCCGCGCGCCGGAGACACAGGAGATTCCAGGCGAGGGTGTAACACACGTAGGACCGGTATTCCTCGAGGCTGGAACGGCTGCCAGTTCGTTAGAGAAGAATACAACCGGCTCCCATGCAATATGCAACGATCCATATCCAGGCCAACCCCTTTGTCTCTATTTGGTTTTCGCGCTTCGGAAACTGTAACGCCGCCCGGCTCGATCGTCGACGGCCGATATGAGGGCCCGCGAGGAAGAACCGTGTCCCACCCCCCTCGTCGTTTCCCTCCGCCCACGCGGCGGGGTTATGGTGTATTAGTGGAAGAAAAAAGCCCGTCTCGCGAGCCGCGGCGACGCGGGACGCGGCGGGAACAGAGGGGAGGCGGACGGCATTGTTCTCCGATTTTGGTCCGAGCGGATGGTCACGAACAACGGGGGGGTCACGTGCGCGCGAACGGGGAAGAGAGGCAGCCCGGGGATCGATGAATTCGAGCGACGATCGGGATCGTTGATTTTGTAATTAGGGGATTCTACGAAGAACGCGTGATCGGGAGTCGCCTTGAAGGAACCCGGAACGGGACGGCTTGGCTGAGCCGAGCCACTGTGAGAGGCTCTGCTTCTGCTACCGGAGGATTGAAACCGTTTGATTGGTGGTTAGATACCGGGACGACGTACTTTCAGGGGAGTCCTATTGTTGGGTCGGTCGGGCTGCTCGCGCGGGCTACCTAACAATAGGGCTTTGAAATTTTCATTGTTCCGGACGTGGCTTAGATAGTGACATCTCGTAAGATACGAACCGGTGACCGATTTTGTCAATGCAATTGTCGTTATTGCGGGGTTCGGCTCTGCGATATTCTTTGCTAATTGCGTTCGGTTCTCGTGAACTTTCAGCTAACAATAGGCCGCACTGAAGTAACGTTAAATGACGATTCAGGTAACTTCGTTAGAATGTTGCTGAGATACCTGGAAACTCTAAGCTATCTTACAGCTGCTAAATTATTTGGTTAAACGTATCCTTTACTCGATGTTCGACAACTATTCTCTACTGTTACGAACGACGCCTGATATCTTAAGGTTTCATCCCCTTGTAATGACAACACGATGTCCTAGATCAATTTTATCCGCAGGTTGTTCGCCGTGTCAAGATGCTCGCGTTGCCGGGCAGGCATCTCCGCATCGGAGCTGGTGATGCGTGCCAGGGACCTGGTGTACCACGTGGCCTGCTTCACTTGCGCCTCCTGCGGCACCCCGCTGAACAAGGGTGATCATTTCGGGCAGAGGGACGGCCTGGTTTACTGTAGGTGAGAAACACGAGCCGGAATTACCATCCACCAAAGGCCGTCTCTTTGTTATCAACGAGTTTGATGACGAGAGTGACAGAAACACGAGCCGCGCCGGCCTGTTGCCAACACTTTATTATCTTCCCCCGTCCACGGCGCGTAATGACAGCCCTCCGACGCGCGGGTGAATCCGGTCTTTTCGATTCCGAGAAGCTCCGTCGCGGGAACCGGGCTTGACGCGCGTTCTCGTAAAGGGAAAGACGTCGTCGCGGTGGTGCCCGCTAACCCGCTCGGCTGGATCGATGGGATCGGTGCGCGCCGGCTTATCACTGGACGTCACGTACGTTTATTAATCCCCGTTCATGGCGGATCTTGATGGGAACCCTGGGACAAATAAGGGACGTACAAATGGCACCGGTTAATTTCAGAAGGAGACGTTCCCTCGGCTAGCTTCTTGGGTACACCGTGGAACACTTTGTTCCACAGTGCTGCCGACGGAGATACCGAATAATATAGACGTACAATTTTTTACCAGGAACAGTCGTGGTTTTTCTCATTATAAACGGCTACGGTGACTGTAAATTGATCCGTTTGGGGTATTCACTTCGTATCGCGCTTCACTTTACTGTAGTCCCTATGAAAGATCATACCTTAGACTCAAATCTTCACACAATTATTACAATCTACGGAACTTGAACGATTCAAGATCCCAGTATCCCAAAAAATCTGAAACACCCGAAGATCTAAATATCCAAAAGTCAAGAAGAGATTCCAGTCTTCTCAACGCACACTTCTTTCTTGTATCTCCGCTTCTACGTTGAAACCAATCGACTCGAACGTGGTAGACTCATCGATCCGTCGATCCGATCGAGCGCGTACCGTCTCGGCCATTAGTCTGTCTTCTCTCGCGAGCGGGTCCGCGTTCGCTCGTTCATCGAACTCGTCGGATAACGCAGGGCCGCCACTGAAATACTCGACAGCAAGGTTCACGAATGACGAGCTGGTCGGTCCCAAGACCTCACTACGAGTTGCTCTGCTGCGCGGGCGATTACGGGAGCGCGGCCGGAAGCATCGAGGACATCGGCTCGCCGGGGGTGTCGCCCCTTCCGGCTTATTACAGCGCCGCGGAGCAGAGCCCGATCACCTCGTCCGGCACGGTGCAGAAGGGCAGGCCCAGGAAGAGGAAGCTGTCTGAGGTGACCGGCTCCGAACTACCCGTCACGATGAGGCTGGCCGCCGGTGCGCTTGGTGAGCAATCTCTCAACCTCTTAATTGCGCCTTCTTGCCGCCATTCCGTCTTGCCCTTTTATCATCATATGCCTGTCCGATCGCGGTATGCCGGACACGAAATGCCGCGGTATGTTTTACTTGTTCCTGACCGGCCGCAGGTGACATCCCGCGAGATTTTTCAGGTTATAACGATAGGATGGACACCGGTCGGAGGTGTTCGGGACGTGTTTCATTAATGCTTTGCGCTATAACGACGAGCGAGGCTATTGATGAAGATTTATAGATTAATTTAGTCGTTTGTACCACTTTGACGAGTCTCATTAGCGATGGCAATTTTAGACCAAATATGGCCGTCGCGAGCGAGACCCGAAGCCATAATACGAGTAAAGTATCGTGCGGTATGATTATGGCTTGGATTTTGTTTGGTTAAATGGCAGTGCAAGGGGTTACTGGAGATTGATGTCGTGTATTATGCATGGATCAAAGTAAAACAGTATTTCGCTATTATCAGTTTCTATTATCTTTGAAGTAAAGTGCTTACGATGAACGTTCCTGCGAGCTGTTGATAGTAGGAAGTTATGCGAGCTTAGCGGCCGATGGAAATGATATAATAGGGGTTTATCTTGGTTTATTGAAAGTGAACGAGGGATATAAAGTTGGAGGTATTTTTAGGTGGATAGTCAGCATGCTTATTACTGATTCAAGTCGATGTTCGAACTTGATCCACTTGAGCCGGTTGGATTCTTTCGGTACAGGGGTGTGGTGATTTGGAGAAGGTTTAAGGATAATTATGAGATTACGGATTTCGAATGATTAATCTAATTAAGAAGATTGATAAGCCGAGAGCGCGATGGTTGGTTGATGTTTGGCTTTTATTGTTTTAGTTGCACTAGTTCTAGTTAAGTATAATAAGAGAAGGTAAGGTAATGGGCAGAAAACACGGCAAGGGATAAAATTATTATATTATCTTACAAATTCGTTTCATTTTCCGGTTGAAACTAATTTATTTCTTATCGAATGCTCATTTCAATTCGCTGCATAAGTTAAAATGGCAAGATGACATAAAGTTAAGCCTTTATGACTCTAATAGCTATCTTATAAGGAATTGATTTCGTCATTTACCTCGCTGAAAATATAAAGGGAAGTAAAACCATGTTAATGACATCCAGCTACAGCTCGTAACGAAACGTGATATTACATTAACGGCTCTGAGTGTTTAATAATTATTCCTACTTAATATACCCTTTAAAAATGTCCACGATTTTAACGTTTCCATCTTAACCTTTCCATCTTCCTTTAAGGCAATGAACTTTTTCTTGGCCGCCGTATATTCGCTATTTTATAATTCCTTTGATTATTAATTCGCATAAACGTCTAAGAAAAAGATGTCGCCTTCCCCGTGATAATATAAAACTGCATGAATTTTAACAATATGTTTGCCTATCAACAAGAACTTTTTCACTTCATAGCCGCCTATCCTGGCCATCGTTCTTAATAGTACGTCCATGTTTGCACGGGGCTCCCCTTTTTTTCACCCCTCCCGCCGGAATTACTGTCCGGCGTTATCCGACTTTATTATCAATACTAATTGAACTATGACTAGACCGCGAGATTTTATACAATCATAGTACACACAATTACATCAAATTCAATACGCGAAAAAAGGAACGCGAATGAAATCTAAGGAAGAATTAATATTATTTAGAATCTTATAAAACCCTTAACGAACCACAGGAGTTTCCGATTGGCTCTGCTATTAATACTACCGCGCAAAAATCTCTATCCACGTCCGTCCGCTATTAATAACAATATTTTATGCCGTACAAACTGTCTGGGACCCGGAACCGAATCATCGCTTAATTACGCGTTCGATTTCCCTCGTTTCCCGTGGAACAACCATTCAAACCAGCCAGCCGTCCATCGCGTTTCCATCGTATTCGTTCGCATCTGTTCTAACCCTTTGCACATTAAGATCGCTTCCACCCTGATATTTCCCCCTAAAACGCTCGATTCTCTGACGCGACAGTTCATACAGTGACTAAACAAATCGCCGAACACCAAAAATTAAAAGGAATAGCTTCGTTAAAAACTATCGTATCTCAGAGACGCATGAATAACAACAAACCAAATCCATCTTTCTACTCGATGCATTCTCCACGAACGATTGTTCCATTAGCAGAAGTTCAAACAAATATCTCCAACCAATTCCTCCGTGCCCAACACACGACACCGAAACCAGAAGAATTCAATTACAATCGACCGAGGACCAACTACGAAAACAATTGTATCGCAAAGGGTTAGATCGAGGCCAATTGAAAGCAGCACAAGCGAAGGGGGTCAGTTCTCGAACGAGTTATTTATTCAGCTCTCGAAAAAAGGGAAAACCGTTTCTGCCGACGTACAAAAGGAGTCGACGGGCGAGCGTCGGGTCGTCTCGCGCCGCTCGCGACCCGAACGCCCGTTCGCCGCGCAGCCGCGCGTCCGAGGATCAATTTGGACGGACGGTGGGCGAAATCTCTTCGCTGAAGAATTCCGTGTGTGCCGACGTAAGAGGAACAGAGAACCGCTTAACGAGGCGAGCGTGAACAATCGTCCGCGCGCGGCTCGCGGGTCGCGATCCTCGAAAGCGCCGGCAAATGTTTGCACACCGAAGGAACCCGGCCATTATTCTCATTGCTCGGCAAATAATGCAACTCCCCCGACTAACCTGTTCGATTCGAGGGTTGCCGGGATGCCCGGCTGGTTCAACTGAGATGAAACTATAATAGCTCGATTCGAATGACTGCGAGAGAGAAAGAGAGAGAGAGAGGGATGGATATTTCGCGTATATCTATGAAGGGAGAGAGAGAGAGAGAGAGGGAGACGCGTAAAGAGAATGGAAAGAAAGAGGAGAGACCGCGAGCCGCGCACCACGTGTTCCCATGGTTTTAATACCAATGTTTGAAAGCACACCCCCGTTTACCATCCGGCCCAATTATCCCTCCGGCAACCCCTTCCGCCCCTCCCTGTTCCGCTCCCGCGTTGTTTCACCACTGCCAATTACACGTATTTGCGTCCTCGAACCGGATCAGAGCCGAGACTGAATTCTTGTGAATTCTTTATTGTTTCGACTGTACGATGAGCGGAACAAAGGGGTCCGGCTGCGTTTTCTTCCGTCGCCGTCCACGTATTGTCGACTGTTTTCTCTTCTGTCGTCGATCGATCGGAACGGACGATTCGAATTCGACGGAGGGATCGTTCGAATCTGTTTTTGAGGAGGCTCGGCACTTCTGCGGGAAAGGGTTGCGCTGGTTCCGGAGGGTCTCAGATCTCTTTGTGCCTTAATGAACTCAGTTTTTGAGAAGTTTCACGTGGCTGGAAGGGTTGAAGGAGTTAGAGAGTTCCTTTTTTTCTTCGGATCCTCCGGGTAAGGGTGTTTGGATCTTTCTTGTTCGGCAACGGGGAAAGTTGGCTGAGTTCGGGGTGTCAAAAGCTTCTGTGCTTAACGAGCAGCTGGGATTGAGGATGTTTTTTAGGTCGCTGGTAGTTGAGGTTCGCAGACTCTCGGGATTTTTGTTCGAACGGGTGTAACGTAAATTGGAGATTGGTCGATTTCTTTTCGGGATAGAATCGCCTGGCGCGTCTGTCTATCGCTGATTAATTCCACTCGGGATAAATATCCATGATTCAAGTAGTATCGGCTAGCCCTGAACGGACGACGCTGGTTAACCGGTAATCAGATGCACTCGTATATCAGATACAGCTTTTTAATTCCTATACATCAGTAACATACCTCTTTGAACAAATATTTACAGACAAAACTCATCAGCTTCTATCTCGACGAAGAAATCAATGAGTTCATCCGAATAAATTCTTTACCATATATTCATATTTACTGTATATTACAAACAATACCCTATCCGAAAGCATTCCAAAAAAATGCCCCCGAAAGCGGAACTCCTCTAAAACCGTCAATAAAAAAATCAATCCCCCGTTTCACAAGGAAAACAACGTCTCCGATGTCGGAGGTAATCAATTCTCCACAATTAGGACCGCGATGATCGCGTCGCGAGCGTTTCGAACGGCTCGAGAAACGGCGAAGTTGTCGCTGCTGCGATCCGGCCGGCTCATCGAACGCGGCCGGCGGACGTCCAGACGGAATAGTCCGAGAGGGATCTCCGGGACGGGGCAAAAAGTGTCCCAATTATATATAAAGACAATAAAACGCGAGGCGAGTCGGCCGGTTCCCATCCCGTCCCGTCCCGGCGCGGCGCGGCGCGGCGCGTCGCGTCGCTTCATGGACGATTTTATGGCTGTTGGTCGTAAATTCCTGCCGGTAGTCCGAAAGTGATTCCGCTTGATCGCGCGTCGATTATAAAATAACTGTGGCCCGGTCGCGGCGTGCAAAACCGGCCGCTCCGGGGCTCGGCCGTTAGAGGGGAGGGGGTGAACGCGACTCTTGAACTCCACGGAAAACGTCGTAAACCATCGCGGAACAAATGAGATCCTTGATAACCGACGCCGGAATAAAATCGGACACGCCGGCCGACAAACGAGGGTGCTTTACGCGGCGCGTTAAATGAATTTATCGGTCGGCCGACGCGCGAAATGAACGCGTCGTTTTCGGGGATCGTGTTCTGCAACGCTGGCTCTCCGCGGGCCAGTTAGCGTCTCGTTAAATTAACATTTGTCCACGCAGTCCGGCGCATTTCGTTAACGATCGATCCCCTGTCCGGGAATTAGATCGCATTCGAGTAGACACAGTATCGAAATCGAACGATCGGGATGCGGATTTTTACGTTGCGCGCGTACCACAGCCTCAATTAGATTATTCTATACCGCCCCCGAGACGATAATAAAATTACGCTCGAATTATATACAATCGATTCGCGGAACGAGCGGCGGACGGCGGCGAAGTACGAAAAACCCTTCCGCCGAGAACTCGTTTACGATTATTAAGCGATTTTATCGCGCACTCGGTGTTAAACGTTCGCGTTCGTTCATTTTATTAAGTGTACCGCGGAATTGGCCGGCGCGAG